AGCATTCTGGTTGATGATACTTTATACTTAGAGGTTTTTGCCTATCTAATTTCTTTATATTAGTATCAGTTTTTAAATTTAATCTTTACAGTAATATTGTTAAAGATCTATATTAGCTTCTATTTAATTTTTTTCAAGTAAGCTTTAGTTTTTCTAGTTTTACAAATTTACATAACTACAAGAACTTATCTTAGATTTGTACTATCTGATATTAGTTTGTATTCTTTTGTATAACCTTGGTTATACAAATATCTTTGATCTGCCAGTCATACTTATATGATTATAGTTATAGGTATTTTATTTTAACTGATTAACAGAATGCTATTGTTATAATACAGATGTATTTTTCTAAATTTTCTTATTAGTAAGTTTTGAATTTATAACCTGCCACTTAAGAGGTTGACAACTTATTTAGTTTACTAAGTTATTATACTCTTATTATTTTGCATATTATATATATTATAATTTAATAATATATTATATAATATAGTTATAAGCAGTCTGAACTTATGTTTAGCAGTAGTAATATATTATAATAGAATAGAGTTGTATATTGTATATAATAAAACTATATTATATATAGTATTTTAAAGTAAAGATAATAACTATATTAATAATATATACAGTTTGTCTATCTGTTATATTTTTAGTTTTAGATATTTCAATAAGTTCTAGTGCTTCTTGTTTGATTAGTTTAATTTGTATAGTATATTTAAAAATAGTTATAAACTAACATTCTAGAAATTTAAAAAGTATATAATAAAATAATATTTGTATTATAGAATTTATAAAATAAAAAGTTAAAATTAATTTGGTATTAGAAACTAAGATAGATTTATATATATTAACTTTAATGTGAGCTATAATATAAAATGTTAATGCTGTTTAAATTATATTTTGAAACTGTTCTTTAGTTTTAGCTAACTATAGTATATTATTTATATATATCAAGTTTAATATTAAAATTGTTACTAATTGGTATTTTATTAAGTTAAGCTAGAAGATCTATTTAGCTATAAAGATATAGCTAGTATGTATTTTGTTTATATTGTTAATAAGTAAATTAAAATATATATGCAAAAAAGAGATATTATAGTTTTTTCTTAATCAATATTATTTTTATTTTATAAAAGAAAAAAGAACCAAAATTGATAATTATTTAATTAGAGTAATTACAAAACAAATTAAATTTTTTTATTTTAGTATTAAGATAATCTTTTATAGTCCTAATTTTTTATTAATACTTATATCAGACATATGCATATATATAAACATATCTATATTGAACTATCAAACAAGTGTACAACTGGCTATATATATAACTTTTCTATATTACCTATTTAAGGAATCTGGCTGAAGGTTTTCTACTAGTTGTTATATCTAATACTCCTACTTAGATGTTCTATTTAAACTTTCTGATCTGGTCTTAATATTAACTTTACCAGGTCACTGATCCAGATCCTTTCACCATTAACCTTTAGGACTATAATCCTTAGACTATTTTTATTCTTAAGATAAACTTATCAAAGCAAGTTATATTTTCTTTTTACTGCTAATCTGGTTTGATATTATAGCCAAGACCAATATTTGTAGTTAGAATTATTTATTAAATTATTATTATTTTTGTAAAGTTTATTCAAATCCTGATACTTATCTTTCTAATATCTTTTCTATTATCTTCTAATAATCACAACTTAGAACTAACAAACTTTCTAAACTTCCAATTTAGATGACTTGATATTGATATACTTATGTATTCTTTTTCTTTAGCAATTCTGGTAGTCTTATTAATGCATATGCTTTTCTCATATACCTATCATCTAATTTATTAATAATTCTACTATTAAAAGTTTGTGCTACCTCTTTACTCAGGATTTCTAAGTGAATTTTTGTCTTTTTGGTTTTTTAGCCTTTTATGCCTAATGATCTTATTATGAGTTTGCACTAAAGCCTTATACAATACTGATTTTTTATATTCTTCTATATATATGTAACATTATACTTCATATAGATACTCTGAGTTTCTAATATCAGATGGTGTATCTAAGATTACAGATGCTCAAAACTCAACTGATCAACAAGAGAAGTTACTATAACACAGATATAATTTCCAAAATTCATTATCTGTAGAAATTGAATCTTAGACCTGTTACTTGGAGGTTAATAACCTATTCACTTCACTAGGTCATCACACCTCTGCAAAATAAATTAATTATAAAGTTAACAAAACATATAAGCATGTATATTTATTGTAATGCTTTGCTAAAAAGATAATATTTACTAAGTTATAAGCTTACTTATGTCTTATTATGAGATTTAAATTTAATAAAAAAATAACTAAAATTTTAAATGCTTTTAAATTTTTACTAATAATATTATAAAAATTAACATCTATCAAGTTTTGACTTTTTTTAAATATTCAACTTTAGTAGGAGTTTTGTCAGAATTTCAATGTATTATCAAAGTTTTATGTTTTATCAGAGTTTTATTAATTTTTATCTTTTACTGAGTTTAGTTTTGTCTTTCACTATTTGTCAAAAATAGTTTTATCTACTAACACTAATCACATTCTTGGTTTTAAAAATTTGATTCTTATAGAGTTTGTGCTTATATACTAATAATCATAAATAATGTAACAAAAATTTTTTTAATTGGATCAAATTATTTTATATAATTCTAGATATATTTGTTAACTTTTTTTTTTATTCTATTTCTAAATACTATAGTTTTTAAAAATAAAATTTTAAAAAGTATCAATAGGCCAAATTTTTCACAGGTATGAGTTTTATTTTAAAAAGTGTGTTGCATTATTTTTGCTCATTTTAAACACAATATAAATATAAAATAAAAAATTTTTTTTTATATATAAAATAATTTTTTTTTATTTTATTTGAATAATTTATGATCATTATTATTTGTTTCATTTATTTTGTGTTATACAAACATTCTAAATTTAGAATTTTAAAAGACAAATTAAGTTGATATATCAATATTGATTTCTTGTTAAGGCACTTAGATTATGTCTAAAGATCCTTTTTATTCAAAATTAAAATAGTATAAACTTCTGCAAATGGTTAATCAAAATCTAAAAAAAAAATTAAAAAAAAAATTAAAAAATAGAATAACCAATATAATGCCTTGATTTGATTATCTTTAAATTATTGTTTTACTATTGTTATTATATATTTTTTTTTATTATTTAATTAAAAAATTATTTTGTGAATAGCATATTCATAATTTCTGATAATATTTGTATATTTTTATAAAATATCTGTTAGTGAAACTTATTATTCATTGTGTAATTGAGCTCACTAAGGTCTTTGTATAATAAAATATAATGCAACACTATATATTATTAATATTTCACTAAAATCTTATTTAAGTTTAATTTAAAAATTATTTAATGACTTTTTACAATCTTTCGATCAAAAAACTTTAAAATTTTGAATCATTAAAATGAGTTACCTAAGATTAGCTTTGACAGCTTAATTTTCATGTTTTTTTGTAAGTTTGAATCAGCATTTTTACTTGTATTTATGTCAATAAGTTTTTTTTTACTTAATCCCTAATATCAACCTGTAGTTTTAAAGTATAAAAAGAATAATTAACTATTAAAACATAAATATTATTATTTTTTTTAAATAAAATCATACTTAAACAACAATTAAGCAACAATAAAAGATTATTCAATTTAATGTTCTTGTCTGGTTTTGCTCGCACTTGATAAGTAAACAACTAACCTTTATTGATTCTTTACGAATGTAATGCACAGTAATTTTTATAGAGAAAAAAGCCAATGAAGAAACCAATATTATGCATCCAATCTATCACTTTTGTGGCATATCACTTTTACAACGAAGAAGAAATTCAGGCTTCTTTGAATTGTAGCATATCTATATATTTTTTTGTTAAAACTTTATCAAGTGCTTTATCGTCGTACAATGATGCAAGAATAACAATGAATTTACATTTTGATATGTACTTAGGTAGCACAGTAGGAATAATCTGATCTTTGTCAAAAACGATCAAAAATAATGCAACACATGATTTGTAATAAAATGCACAATTATCTTCGCATTGGCAATAATAACAACTATTAAAATTTTAATATTTAAAAAAGTACTATTTGTGAATAAAATAAAAAAAAATTGAAAAGAAAAGGCGCATAATTGCGTGAAATATTGCGATCTAAAGAAAAAAATTTTTTTGTTGCATTATTTATGATCGCCAATGTTATACGTATAAATTGATTTTAAAAATTTATGTGAAATGTGACTATAGAGAAGGCGACTATAGATAGGTCTACTCTGCCCTTAACTTTCGTATAATGAACTGACAGTTCTTATAGCGGTTAATGGATTTGGTATTTGCATTACTATAAGTGGTGTACTGTGTTGTATCATTTCGAATTCTATACTGTATCGTATCATTTCAAAATGCGTACTAAATTATCTTCCGTACAGTACACTATATATGTATGTTCATATAAAAGTCTTCCTATATACTGCACCTTTAATTGGTGACAATTCCGAATTGCTAATTAAAAGCTGCTTCGTCATAATAATTAAAGACATAAAATTTGGCAAATATTCATATTAGTTACTGACGTGGCTTGTTCATTAATAATAAAATTCGAAAATAACATGCGTCAATGAACCAGTGTTTAAAACCCAGACTTGATTATACCTAAAAAATCGGAATATTTTCAAAAATTTTTATTCGTAATACAGCAAATTGGAAGTTTCTAATGTTGTCAAATGTTCTCAAAAAGAAAATATATTCTAACAATTCAAAAGCTATAAGTGTTTCTCTGAGAACACCTAAACACTAAATTTTAAATACTACAAATGACTGATAATTTGTATCCTTTTTATTATTGTAGGAAATTTATTCGTTTTATCAACATTAATCAATCAATATATTGCATCGTTAATTACAATTTTAGAAATTCTAAATTTGTTTACCGTATTATAGATCTAGTAAACTAGGATAAAAGCGTTTTAACCTGTATTTTCTTGTGTAATCTTTTGTTTATAAGGTTTGCGATTTTTATATAATTCTTCAACCCACGATTTAACTTCTGGATGAGTAAATATTCCTTTTGTCGATTCGAAGAATTCCTCAAGATTTTTATTTTGAGCTAAAATATTTTTATCGAGAAAGCAAAACAATAATTAATACTTTACTGATATAGAAAAACTTTCCTAGATGTACCTTCATAATTAGACACTTCCATAAATGCACTTTAAAACTTTGGTCTAAACATATACAGTCACACCCTCTTTATAAGCACGCTAATCATTAAAATAAACTTATATAAAACATAAGAAATTCGACCTCTATATAGGCACAGTTTCTTATAAATACAGAATTTCTTGGAACCGATGGCGTGACTATAAAAGAGGTTTGACTGTACTTGACCTCCCTAAACGCACTTTTTCTTATTGTTCCTAAATGTGCATTGCAAAGGGTTTGGACAGATATGATGCATTTATGGAGCTTTCTGTAATAATTACAAATAATTTGAAACGATTAATAATGTACTTACATTGTTCATACTCATAAGCCTGAAGAATCATTTCAAACTTATCTATATCATTAACAAATTTAGCCTCCTTTGTTGTTGCATCTTCATATTCTTGCCAAAGAGCATAAATTTCTTGAGATTGCGGAGAGTTTCCAAGTAAGTCATCACATATATGTCGCAATGCTTCCTGTTAGTTTAAATTGAATGAAAACCAGAAATTAGGTTTTGAAATAAAGTGAATGTCCATGAAATTAATAAGATATAAAAAAAAAGGAAATGCATAAATACAGATTCTCTACGTTTCTTTTCTTCCTTACTTATTCCATCGTAAGGTGTTATATCACCCTATTAAAGCAAATAAACAAACATAATAATTTCGAGATAAAACATATTGTATTCACTATAATCCTATTAATTTGCTCTTTAAAGAGATGTCTTTTTTTTTTGCTTATAAGTTATTGGATTTAGCGATTAATTTTCATGACTCAAAAAAGAACTTCGCCATTTTGAAAATTTGACATCTCAATAAGAAGAATCACAAGATTGACCACCAAAAAAATAAAATTTATAGGTAATTGAAATAATAAAGTAAAAAATATATATACTACTGTGGCTTCGGCCAGATCATGGACGATAGACATTTTAACACATCTAGCAGGATTAGTAAGGTATATAAAAAAATTTTCGGAAACAAAATATGAATAGACAACTTTCAAAAATGAAAAGAGACATACTTATCTCGATCTAATGTTGGATCGTTAACTGACAATGACAATATGGACATACGATACATATGATCAGATATTGATTCGGGATTTTCTACATTATGATATATCCATCCTGTACGTTTTGTTGTCTAGAGAATTAAAATAAAACTCGTATTTAAGATTCAATTATATTCATAACCACGTCGATAATACCTTTAATTTTTCACAAAGATGAAAAAATTCGAGAAGTTTGGTAACATTTGAACTGCTGTTTGTCTGAGAGCTATCCGCCATTTTTTTTGTTAACGAACGATTATCTATCATTTTATATAGAAATGTTGTGAAACGTATTACCATCTCTGTACTGTGATTGATATACAAATAAACCAAACTTTTATTATACTTTGTAAAGTTATTTTATTTTATTTTCAGCCATCATCTTAGCCTTTATTAGAGATGATAGTCAATAACATGATACTGCTTCTTATACACATTTTGGTTCACTACTGAAGACACACTCACTAATCTTATTATTAGGCAATACATATATATTGTGAGCCCCATAATCACGGTCACACGTGACCGATCGTCGAAATTAGGTCCCGTCGCCTACCCGAGTAATTAGTCACATGAAAAGTAAGAGAAATCTTACTTTTCTTACTTTTGTTACATTTATTACTTTTATTACTTCGGGTAGATCGACGGTATATAGGACATTCGGTTTTTCGTTATTATAGTGGGAAAAAGGGTTTTAAGGATGATATAGTGTAAATAGATAATGTAGAGGAAATTAACCTCGAATGTAAATAAAAGTTTTATTATAAATAAAGGGCCTTCCGCCCAGGGGGAAAGTAACGGCGATACCCCCAAGTAAATACATTTTTGCAATACATAAAATACATTCCTGACCCATAAATAAAGTGAACTATAACCCAACGCAAACTAATAAAATATCGTTAAAACCCATCGTTATCCATATCGTTCGCCCGTTTGTAATCCACTACAACCGCATTTTGATCGTTCTCAGCGAGTCACGTGACCAAGCCGTTAGTGCAAGAAATTCATTTGTTATAGGTTTATTATTGTTAAAATAATGCTTCAATTTTAATATGTTAATTAAATTGCCGATTTAAATATCAACTCCAATATCGTTTAAAATGAAGAGGAGTTCTATAAATATGCTTGTAAATTCATTTTAGCTACTAATGCAATAAAAGTAAATATTCTATCGATTAAAATATAGTTGCATTTAAATACTTATTTAGCCCACCGATTCAGTATATAACCATGAAGTTCCTTATTTCGTGCTTTTGAAGAAAGATTACAACAAGGTGTACTCATTCATAAATTCATTAATATAGCTAAAAGAATTCATATTCACAACGCTATTCCCTTCAATAATAAAATAAAACAAAACTTTTCCCGAATTAATAATAGCACCATTAAAATGATGATACTATGTTTTTAATAATGCTATGGCTAATCATAAATACCGATATAAAGAACTATGAGAAAAGAAATAACAATATTAAAAGAATAAAAAATGTAACTAACGTGTAAAGAGGTCCATTATTCTGAAAGAAATATCACCTTTGTAACAACCCGTTATAAGTCAAATCGTTAATCGGAAATTTCAAGGCCGGAATCTAATGATAGAGAAATTTATATAAAAACTGACCAAATTGTAAAGTTAGTTTATGAAAAAAATTCTACTAACTTAAATGCGAATTGATAGCTTCAATGATATCATTCGATGGTCTACTTGTGTAAATTGCCTCTGGATGTAATTCCGTTATAGGTTTTCTTTCTACATTGAGAACTGATTGATTTGCTTTACTGAATTGTTGATATATATCACTTTCCACATCATCATAATTATAAAGGTATTCAAATTCCCATCCAAAAATTTTGTTCATTAAGTCTTCCGCTGATGGTCGTCTGCGTGGATCGACATCAAGACAACGCTTTATTAACTCGACAAAACATTGAGGTGTATCTTCTGCAATTTTAGGATGCAGTCCTTTTTTAATATCCAGTGCAAGTTCGACATTATGTGGTCTGTCTGGATAAGGCGGTTCACCACTTGCAAATTCAACTCATACAGGGGGATCCCCAAATTCCGGGTCGGAATACCTCGGATTTAGCCCGGCATTTAGTTAGCATTTAGTAATACAATTTAACCATTTTGGGCCAAAATTATCAGCTGGGCAGCTTTACTTAATGA